CCAAAACAGACATGAGGACCAATAGTACAGAATAGAAGGCCCAGAGACAAGCACACATAAATACAGTTGTCTCATATTAGACAAAGGCATCACAAACATTCTTTGGAGAAAAGATAACCTCTTTAACGGTGCTGAGGAAATTGGAAATCCATATGTAACAAAATGAAATTAGACCCCTGTCTTTTACCCTGCACAAAACTCAACTCAAAGTGGATCAAGGACCTAGGCATTAGACCAGAGTCCCTGCACCTATTAGAAGAAAAACTAGGCCCAACTCTCCGTTAAGTCAGCTTAGAAACCTAATCCCTCAACAAGACTCCTAAAGCACATGAATTAAAATCAAGAATCAATAAATGGGATGATAACAAACTAAAAAGCTGCTTCATAAGAAAGGGAACTATAAATAATGTGAAGAGAGAGCATACAGAGTGAAGAAAATCTTTGCTACCTGCACCTCAGATACATCATTAATCTCCAGGATATACAAAGAACTCATAAAACTTAGCACCAAAAAAGTCAAATAACCCAATCAATAAATGGACAAAGGAACTAAACAAACACTTCTCAAAAGAAGAAACATGAATGGTCAACAAATATATGAAAAAAAGTTCAACATCACTAGCAATTAGAGGAATGCAAATTAAAACTACATTGAGATTTCATCTCATTCCAGTCAGAATGGCAATTATTGTGAACAGAAGTAGCAATAAATGTTGGTGAGAATTGAGGGAAAAGGTACACTCATACATTTATGTTGAAACTGCAATTTGGTGCAACCACTCTGAAATGAAGTATGGAACTTCCTCAGAAAACTTGGAATGGAACCACCATTTGACCTAGTCCTCCCAATCCTCAGTATATACCCAAAGGACTTAAAATTAGCATACTATAGTGATGCGGCCACATCAACATTTGTAGCAGCTCAATTTATAATAGCTAAGCTATGGAACCAACCTAGGTGCCCTTCAATAGATGAATGGATAAAGAAATGTGGTATATATACACAATGTTATATTAGCCATAAAAAAGAATGAAAATATGGCTTTTGCTGCTAAGTGGATGGAACTGGAAACTATCATGCTAAGTGAAATAAGGTAATTCCCCCAAAAAACCAAAGTCTAAATGTTCTCTCTGATGTGTGGATGCTAACACATAATAAAAGGGGATGATGAAGAACAGAAATACTTTGGATTAGACAAAGGGGAATGAAGGGAAGGGATAGGGTATGGGAATAGGAAAGACAGTAGAATGAATCAGAAATCACTTTCCTATGTTCATATGTGAATACACAACCAGTGTAACTCCACATCATGTATAATCAAAAGAATGGGAAGTTATACTCCATGTATGTATATGTCAAATTACATTCTACTGTCATGTATAACAAAAAGGAACAAATAATTTTTTTTTTAAAAAACAAAGAACACTTTCCAAATTTGGATAAGTATAAATATCTAAATACTGGAAGAGCAAAGGTATCAAATCAGATTCAATTCAAATAAGAGTATCTCAAGACAAATTATAATGAAATTATCAAATATCAAGGACAAAGAGAGGATCTTGACAGCAGCAAGAGAAAAGAAGCAAATAACATACAAAGGAGTTTCAAAACAGCTAGCAGTGAAAGCTGATAATCTAGCTCAGTGGAACAGTGCTTGCCTAGAATGCTCACGTCCCTGTGCTGGAGTGTCAGCATAACAAAAAAATCCAGCAGTGGATTTCCTAGAAGAGACCCCAAAGACCAGGAATGTGGGATAATGTATGCAAGATAATGAAGTAAATAAACTACCAAAAATAACATACACACAAAAGCAGCCCTTCAGAAGTTAAAGATAAATAAAGACTTCCCCAGACAAACAGAAATAGGGAATAAATCTCCACCAGACTTGTCTTACATGAAATGCTAAAGGAAGTTCTTCCAGCTGAAAGGAAAAGATATTAATTTGTAACATGAAAATGTAGGAGTGTGTAAAACTTACTGGTAAAGTAAGTACACATATAAATTCAGAATACACTAGTACTGAAATGGTGGTGGGTAAATCACTTATATTGTTAATAATGAAGCTAAAAAATAAAACTTTTGAGAATAATAGTAGCTACAATAATTTGTTAAAGGATACACATATAAAAGAATATAAACTGTGACATCAAAAATATAAAATGTGGGCTGGGGATGTGGCTCAGTGGTACAGTGCTTGCCCTGCATGTATGAGGCACCAGGTTCAATTCTCAGCATCACATAAAAATAAATGAATAAAATAAAGGTCCATCAACATCTAAAAAAATATAAAATGTGGGAGGAGTAAAGAAGTGTGAAATGGTTTTAGATGATCAAAGTTGTTATTAGCTTTAAGTAGCCTGTTATATCTATGAGATGTTCTTGAAATCTTTATAGTAACCATAACGCAAAATTTATACTAGATACACAAAAGGTGAAATATAAGGAATCAAAGCATAACATCAGAGAAAATCAATCATAAAGGAATACTGTAAGAGAGGAAGAAGAGAAAGGAGACATAAAGCAATTAATAAAATGACATTATTAAATCTTAACATTTCAATAATTATCTTGAATATAAATAGATTAAATTTTCCAATCCAAAGAGAGTGGCTGAATGGATAAAAAAGCAAGACCCAAACACATGATGTCTATAAGACACTCACTTCACATGTTAAGAACACATGTAGAAAGTGAAAAGATGGAAAGTTTTTCTATGAAAATGAATACCAAAAATAGAAGGAATAACTACACTTACATAAAAACAATTAAAGATACTTACTTTAAAAGTTAAGTGAGGTATCTTTCACTAAGCTTAATTTTCAATACCTTTCTATGGACTGAATTTTAAAAATTAAAGTTACTTTAAAAATTACATGTTCAAGATTAGAATAACTGTAATTAGAAACATGTCATAAAAGAATTAATATTTACAAGTTTATCCCTATAATTTATCACATCACCTCTGAATTGATTTTGAGATTATCCTAAAATATATGATTTATCTGACTCTAACATCAGCAAAGTAAAAAGGTTATCCAAAATCTATTTCAGGACTTTCCTTATTTCAGTAATAACCGCTATATGCAATGTAAGCACAGTGTCATAATCTTAACTTCTCAATGTGGATTTTTCAGCAGAGACCTTATAGACCAGGAACATGGGAAAATGTATTCAAGATGATGCAGGAAATAACTACCAAAAATAACATACCCACAAAAGCAGCCCTTCATAAATTAAAGATAAATAAAGACTTCCCCAGACAAACAGAAACAAGGAATAAGAAGTTTATAAGTATCACTAATTATCCTGTGGTGGCATTATAACATTACAGAAAAAGTGTTTCTTTTTTTCTTTCTTTTTTCTTTGTTACCCGGAATTGAACCCAGGGACGCTTAACCACTGAGCCATATCCCCAAGCCTTTTTATTATATTTTATTTTCAGACATGGTCTCACCAAGTTTCTCAGGACCTAAAAGTTGCTGAGGATGAGGATGAGAATCACCTAAAACTTGTGATTCTCCTGCCTCAACATCCCTAGTGGCTGGCATTATAGGCATGGGGCATCACACCCTGCAGAAGCATTTCTTTCAGAAGTAGGGAACCACTAATTTATAGGTTCAAGAATTCCAAAAATTTTACACTGATTTCTCTCCTAGATCAACCTTTAATTCCAAGTTTCTCCACTACTGAGACAATCTGAAATTGACACTCAAGTTGGTAAACAAGAAGGCTGGATTTTTCCACCCAGTTTTTCATTACTGGTATTCCAGATCACTTCCATAAAGTCCAGGAAATTGCTGGTGTCCCTATAACTTTTCCTTTAGGATAATATTGCCTAGATTGCCTTTGACTCATTTCCTCAAACAAGGCCTGGGTCTTGATGAGGAATGATATAATATCCTCAGGCTCAAAATTCCAACCATTGTCCCTAGAAAATCACTAATTCATATCAATTATAACATAACATCCTTTCCTATTTACCTCTTAATGCCACTTAACACCACCTAGTTCGGGCCCTCAAGTGTCTTTGGATATAATTTAGCTTTACTGATATTTATTGTATTTAGATCCAAAGTATTATGGTAGGTGTTTTGAAAAGAGGTAGAAAAATGATTGAACATTGAAGGTTTTCTGTGAGTCAAACAAGGTGACAAATTATCTCTTTTGAATTTAAGACAAATGCATATGGTAAATGGTATTTTTGACATTCCAAAAGTTTGGAAATTGTGATTCAGTGAACCAAAACTAACCTGTCACATGTTATGTGATCAAGCTGGAATGTAAATTTTGTTTATATATATATATATATATATATATATATATATATATATATATAT